ACATGTAGTTCCGGCTACTTGGAAGGCTGAGGCGGAAGGATCGCCGGAGCCCAGCAGGTCGAGGCTGCGGTGGCCGGCAGCAGCCACTGCACTCCAGTCTGGGCGACAGAGTGAGACTCCAACTTAAAAAAAAAAAAAAAGAAGACCTCGTCTCTATAGAAAAAGTTTTTTAAAAAAACATTGCCAGGCATGGTGGTGCACACCTGTAGTCCCAGCTACTCAGGAGGTTCAGGCTGGAGGAGCACCTTAGCTCAGGAAGTCAAGGCTAGAGTGATCTGTGATTGTGCCACTGCACTCCAGTCTGGACAGAGGAGACCCTCGCTAACAAAACAGAACAAAAAACAGAAAAAGAAAAAAAAAGAAAACTGCATCATTTAAGTCACTGTGCTTTTTTTTTTTGGTTGGAGTCTCTGAGTCTCTTTGTCACTCAGGCAGGAGTACAGTGACACACTCGACCTACTGGGTTCAGGCAATCTTTCAGCCTCAGCCTTCCAAGTAGCTGGAACTACAGGTATGCACCACCATGCCTGGCTAATTTTTATTTATTTACTGTAGAGACAAGGCCTCACCAAGTTGCCCAGGGTGGTCTTGAACCCCTGAGCTCAAGTAATCCTCTCACCATGGCTTCCCAAAGTGCTGGGATTACAGGCATGAGCCACCATGCCTGGCCACTGTGATTCTTAACTCCTAAATACCTAAATCTGCATCAGCAGGGCAATGACTAAACAAACCACTATCTATCTATACCTATGGGAATATAATACAGCAGTAAAAAAGAATGAACTAAATCTTTGTGCAGTAGCTTAGAAAGACCTCCATGTCATTGTTGGGAAGAAAGGGCAAGTTGCATAAAAACAGGTATACCCTGCAGTCCCAGCTATGCAGCAAGCTGTGCAGAAAGATCCATTGAGCCCAGGAGTTTAAGTCCAGCCTGGGCAACATAGCAAGACTCTGCTTTTTTTGTTTTTGTTTTTTTGTTTTTTTTTGAGTTGGAGTCTCACTCCGCCGCCCAGACTGGAGTGCAGTGGCCGCTCCCG